GTCACATTGTCCCTCATGGCAACGAGTGCAGCAGGAGGGCTTCAAGGAAAGCAAGGCAGAGGTGTCACTGCCCTGCCAGCCCCAAGGCTCTGCTCATGGGGCCTTGGGGACAGCTCCAGGCCATGCCCTCAGTTTAGCTGAGCTCTGTGTGAGGGTGAGAGGAGCCTGAGCTGTGCTGCATCCTCCAGGTTCAGCATTTCAGATGTGGTGCCCACCAGCCCACAGGGAACTGTTCTTTATGTTTGAATTACTACAGGGGGAGAGATAACAACTCCATAATTAGGTTTGTGTCTTTGAAATCTTATATTTCTTTTGCAGCTTGAATATTTATGCAATCACAGAGCTTCGCATGTCCCAGTTCGCCACATTATTTATTTATGTTCAACAACGACTGTACTTGTTAAATCACAATGTTTTCAATAAAAAAAATATGAAAAAGGAAGAATAAAAAACTCACCTCAAGCCCAGAAATCCTTTTTCCTCCTCTCCCCCAAGCCTCAAGCCATTACCTTGGATCCTTTCTGTGGGAAGCCCTGGGGACCTCTTAGCTCCAAATTCATAAGTTGTACAAACACAAATCATTTGTTTCTCTAAAGGAGAAAAAGGCTGGGCCAAAGTGGAAACTGGGGATTTCTTGCTGAAGAGTCTCAAACCCAGGGCTGGATTTGGATGGGGACAGAGCTGGGACAGGGGGAAGTCCCACAGTCCCACCAGTAGCCCCATGAGAACAGATTCCAGCAGCACCAGTTGCTGCCATGCACCTGGAGATGGATCTGGAGGAGTGTGGGAGTGGAGATGATTGTCCTGATCCACATCTCAGGGTGGTGGCAGGGTGACAGACTGGGGCCAGCTGGGACAGCCTCACACACGAAGTTTTCCTGCCATGCCCCAGGAGAACAGGAGTGGGAATGGGCTCCAGGGGCCCTGCAGGCTGTGGTGGGTGCTCAGGGCTGGGGTCAAGAAGAAGCAAGTCCAGAGGAGCATCAACCACGCCAGAGCAGGAGAGATCCAGTCAGGGATGAGGGATGAATGGACTTTCCTTCTGCTGGCCCTTGGATTCCAGTAGATGTAGCTCCAGCCAGGGATGAATGGGGCTGCTCCAGGTGTGGGGCTGATAGGGTGGGGCTGCTCAGGGTGGGACTGCTCCATGGTGTAGGGTTGCTCCATGTTTGAGGTTTCTCCACGGTGTGGGGTTTCTCCACATTTGAGGTTTCTCCACGGTGTGGAGCTGCTCCATGGTGTAGGGCTGCTTAGGGTGTAGGGCTGCTCCATGTTTGAGCTTGCTCCATGTTTGAGCTTGCTCCATGGTGTAGAGCTGCTCAAGGTATGGGGTTTTTCCACGTTTGAGGTTGCTCCATGGCTGGGCTGCTCCAGGCTGCAGCACACAGCTGCCTGCCCTGCAATGAAGAAGCTCCATCCATCTCTTCCAGCTGCTCCCCATCAGTCCCGTCCCTCAGGACCCCTGCCCACCTGTCCAGCCTGGCAGGAGCCTCTCCCAGCCTCACCCAGCCTCTCCCACCCTGCTCATCCATCACTATGGTGTGTGCAGGGCACGGAGCAGCAGCCAAGGGAAAATCGGGAGCATTAGAGTTTGGGATGATTTCAGTTTGGAACTGCTTTGAACATGGGTTAGGGATTACAATGAACTCACGAGGCAATCACTCCCCTGCAATTAGATGAGGGCATTGAAACAGATTCACCATTGCTTGCTCTTGGATAAGCAGGAGGACGTGGCTGCTTTAAAGTGTCTCCTGTATTTATCTCTTTAATCACTTTTTTAAGCATACATGGTTTATTGTTTTATTGATTGGACAGAGCCTTGAATAATCAATATGGCTTTAAGAATTCACTGGGAATGACAGAATTGCAATTAAGTAGAGTATGTGGAGAGAGCCTTAACCCATCTTATTAATTAATGAGGTCACTTTTTCAAGTGTTTCATGGGAGCCCTTGGGAAAAGAAGGTGGCAATTTATTGTAATCCCTAGAGAGGTTTTCTTCTTCTTCCTCGTGCAAAGTTATCTCAGACTCCCTGCCCTGTGCCAGTGACCTTCTTGTGTCCTCCTGCAGCTTCTTTGTGCAACAGAGAACAGGATCAGGGGGAAAAGGAATTTCAGCCTGTCCAGACTGCAGGGATTTTTCCTTCGTGCAGCCAAACCCGTGGAGCTGTGTCCACATCTTTGGAATCAGCCCTTCCTGCTGTGCCCCTGCCCTGGGTGGTGCCTCCTCAGGGAGAGGCAGTGCCTGCTGACACATCCCTGCATGTGCTGTGACCCCAGAAAGGCTCGCATATTCTGGGTTGTGCAGCTTCATTCACATTCTTGTTTGCAAAGTGTGGGTGCTTGGCCGGGGCACGGCTCAGGATCCCACAGAGCAAGGTAGGGATTTGGGGTAAATCTGCTGTGGGAGATGAAAGGATTCTGCCAGGCTGGGTGGGCAGGACTGGAGGCTGGCAATGAGGACAGGAGGGGGGTGAGCAGGGCCATTCCTGCTTCCAGCCTTTCTGAACAGCAGCTGCTGCTGCTCCCTCTGCAGATGGGAACCCAGGCACGGGCACACGGGAGGGCTCCTGGGGCCAGTGGAACATTTAGGGGAAAGTGATTCATGCTTATATTTGCAAATAAACTCCTGTTCTGTCTTTGCTTGCACTTTGCAATCTGTGCATGGCTCAGGTAGGAGGAAAACTGCTGAGAGCTTCCAGGAAGGTTTCCAGAGCAGGAGATTTCACAGCAGTTCTGTGCTGCTGGTCCAAATACCCCGAGCACAACCTCATTACTCATCCTCCCCTTCCACAAAACTCCATCCCCTCCCTCTAATAAGGAGCAAAAAAAGCACTATTTTAGGCTTCTTCAGTGAATTGCTCATGATTAAAGAGATAGTTGGGAATAGTCTGTGATGTTGAGAAGTGTCTGTATGAAATATTGAGCAGTGCTTAAGAAAGCCAACTGTATTTGTGTGGCAGAAATGGGGCTGGCCTAGGAGTGACAATGAGAAGGAGACAGAGAAAGCAGCAGAGGCTGATGACTCATGAGGAGAAAATGGTTTCAGCTGGGCCAGGCTGAGCTGGAGAAAGTGTCTGGGTCAAGTTGGGCCTTGTCTGCTTCCTGAAGGGCTGGTGTCATGAGGGAGTCTCACCTCACTCTAAAAAGAGAAGTGGCAGTGTATTTACTGATATAAACCAGTAATTTAACAAGATGCAGGGTCAGGGTACGCTTGATTATTTCCTGACAGAGGGCAGGGTCAGGCAGAGCTGTCAGGAGCCCCTGACACATTGCCCTGGGCAGGTCCTGAGTGGTGATGGCTCCAAGCAAGGCCTCCAGAAGTGCCAACAGACATGAGGTGACAATGAACCTTCAGATTTTATCAACTGGCTGCTAATGAGAAGTGGGTTTTGCACAAATTGTCTTGGAAGTGTTGCTGCTTGATTTCTGGAAAAACTCAGTGGTGTCCCAC